AAAAAAAAAAGGCACAGTCCCAATGTTACCAAACCACACAGCAGGCCATTCATTCAAGTCTATTGAAAGTCCCAAGATTGGCAGAACATAGCAGGCTGCTGAACCATGACTCGGCTATATGCAGGATTCAAGCGAGCCATAAACTAGAGACCATTCCCCAAGGCTTCTCCTTATATACAGGAAGCAGACCACATCCCTAAAGCAGCTGCTCAGCTGCTCACAGTAGATTCCACCATGGAGCTGATTATCAGTCTCATCACAAGAAATACTACATCCAGCTGCCCAGGCGTTCAACCAGGCCCAGCCAAGTTGACAGACAAACTTAACTACCACACCATGTATAGGGTTAGCAGACAATATTTCTACATGTGTATTTGTATGTGCTGCAGGAATGTCCGAGTGTGCAGTAGAGCTGACAAGGGGCGAGGAAAGTTGTGGTGACTTCTTGGCCACAGCCAGCTAGCTACCCAGAGGTAGTGAGCAGTTGGACCTGTGGGCTCAGGGCCATGGTCTCTGGGGACATCAAACTCAATTGGCATAACCTACTACACAAAATATTGTTCTATATCCTACTATGGTGAGTCTTAAAAGCTTGCAAGTAGCCATCTAGATGCAACGATGGGTCTCTCTTCATCTACAGCAAAGAAGAATGAAGAGAACCAAAGATGCATGAAAACAATTAGTTCAAGGGACTGGTAGACCATGCAATCCTGAGCCTATGTGACCATGAGACTGGAAGAACTAGATGGTGCCCAGCTACCGCTGTCAACAACTTGGAGGTGGATCAGTGCAGGAGATCCTGGACAGAACAGGAGAAGAATGTAGAACAAAACTCAAACAATTAAAAAAAAAAAAAAAAAAAACAGGTTTGCTGGTCTAATAGAGCCTGGTGAGAAGCCTGAGTTTATAAACCCTACTTACCTTTCAGGTCTGGAACTGAACTCACTTCTGTGGCTTCCAGCCAAAAAATAGACAGGCATATGGGGTGAACGTTCACATCAAGTGGATACACTCCTTGGAGCAATCAATTGTGGGAGAACAGAAGGGCAGTGTTTGCACAAGGAGATATCTTGAGGGGCAGGAGTGCAAAGGAGGGAAGGACACAGGGAAGAGGTAAGTACAGGAGAAAAGTGGGAAGAGAGTTGTTACATTGTGGAGAATTGCAGTCAATGTCATGAAACAAAATGTTATGAAATGGTGTATGGAAAATGAATTTGCTCTGTAAACTTACACCCAAATCACAATAAAATTTTTTTTAAAAAGAATCTATAAAGTATGATATCATTTCTTCTAATCAACTGCAATTTAATGTCTTCTACAATCTCATTAAATTACTTTCTTAATAATAATATAGATTCATTTTCACATAACATATATGAGCTCATCTCACCAAATGTAAACATTTCTAGGGTTTTCATGATCCACACAGTCTTAGTGACCTCAAGATCATTCAAATCACCATTGCTTCTTTAGTTCTGGAAAGCATTTAAATTTTAAGCTGTTCAAACAATGTATTGTATTCACTGTAAACCATTTTCTATTCCCTATCTGTGCATTGAAGCCACTGATAAATTTACTACAAAACAAATCATACACTACTCATATTTGCCATGCTTTTCAGTAGAGATGAGATGGGTAAGAACCTGATAAGAGTTGTTCAAGATCTTCCATTTAGTTGAAAATATCACATAGAGAAGATGGTGGACTAGGAAGAAGGAGTGCACAGACCCTCTTCAACAAAGAAAAGGGAAACCAATTAACACAGACACAGAAGATAATCTTGGACCCCGAGCCTTGAAGGGAAAGATACAGAATTGGACTAAACCCCAACTAG